CCCATCCAATACATCTCTTCTGCTGTTAAATAGACTGTATTTAGAGAAGCCTGATGTCATCGTTGCAGCAAAGCAGTTACAATCATATTCAGGCTTCTGCCCGGATTAGTGGGAGGGAGCGTACCAGGATGCCTTCAGGACGTGTTCAATTGAATCCGATGTTTAGTTTGAAATACCTCTTCCAGCAACTCTTCCCATCTTCTTCCCATGGTTAACCCTAATGGCCATTCCCTCCCCCCCTCAATCCTGTGGCATATATTCTCTGTTCTGTGTTAGTAGTTAATAACACATTACAGTCTAAGAAGAAACACTCGGAAGAGTTGTTTTTTAATCCACCAAACTGATTATTTCGAGACACCCCCTCCCTCCCCCTGGCATATCATGTTTCAGACTTGAAGCATTCCTTTCTTTACTTACCTTAGAAAATCTGTACAAATCTATGTATGGAAATTTTGTGTACTTTTCTGGAACTTCAGCTTGGGCAGGATGAAAATACATAGATGAAAATGTAAAAAGAAGTATTAATGGAGATTTATATGCTCCCCTGAACATAGCAATTGTGATTAATGCCACCATATAGATATTTGTGCAAATGTATATCTATATAGATAGATTCATATTGTAAATTCTTCACTCTTGGTAATTAATAGCAGCCTGCACAAATAGTCTCACTGGGTTCAGGTTTATCAATGCAAGTAATTACTTACCAGTGGGAATAAGAGGGTTCACATTCTAGCCCATAATGAAGTAAAGTACTGATAACATACAGAAGGAAGAAAATTACATTATTGGGTAATTTCTTGTTATAACCAGCAATGCTTACCCTTCATATTTTTTATAACAGATAAAAACTGCTTTACTATTAATGAAAGGGCAGCTAATAGTTTTCATTATTGAAGTTTACAGGCTTCAGTCTTCAGTTTTCCAGCTATAGAGTGTGATGGAATCATAGTTCATTGGGGTCCAGAGCTCAGTCAAAACGTTGCTTTCACTTAATCAGAATCTAAAACCTGATGTGAATGTTGAAAATAAACATTACGTTACTTATGTTATATGGGAAAAATGGAATTATGTACATTACCCTTCAGTGAAACATACCTTAAACACAAAACTGGGATGAACATAAGAAAGGTAGAAAGCTGTTGATTTGTTGTTGATTTGAACAAACTATTAAACTACATCAGATGTGACTTCAGAGCAATAAATATTGAAAAGCTTTGCAGTCAAACACAGTAATAGATACAGTAAATGGGTACTAAACAAAATATTTATCTGCTTAATACTGTATAGGTAAGCAGATGTCCTTGAGCTGCTGCCAGGCTGTGCTGAAATGAATGCACTATTTCATAAAGATGAATTTTGCAAAAAGTAGGACTTGAGAGACCCAGGCCATTAAAAAACATTACTGTATCTTGACCACTGGCAGTTTGTTACAATAGGAACCGTGCTTTCACAGTTAAGAATTTCAAAGAGCTGTATGGACATTTTCCTAAACATTGTTTAGATGCATGGATGCATAAAGAATTACGCAGTAAATTCTGCGGCTGAGAGATACAACTGGCATGTTACAAACTTACCTACTTACAAGTACTGTGCTGATGGCATTGCTATTCTTGACATTCTAGTTCTGCTGCTTTCAATTCTCTTGAGATGATAAACCCCAAACAACACAGTGCCATGAGCTAAAAGAGAGAAGAAAGATGGCTGGTTTTTAGTGACAATGTTCTGAAAGAACGGCAGAGACGTTATATGGTTTGTCAGAGACCATAAAAGCCTTTATAGGGCAAGTGAATTAGGCTTCCTCTGTTGTTTCTTAACAGATCCAAAACTGATAGTAAGTAGGGTGGTTTCGAACAACTGCTCAGTTTCTAGCTTTTAATAGTTAATGGGAGGTCGGACTATAAGCTGAGATCAATCCCAGAGTAATAAATTTTACATTATTATATTTGTCTTTCTTGAAATATAAACACTAGAGGACCTATTCTCAAATGGCTTCCGACGCATTTTTTTCATAATTAATACAGGAAATTCAAAGAACGTGACTCCCTGTACAGCTTCGACAGAGGCAGATCTGTATTCATCAGCATGGATTAATTAGCCTGTTACCAGACACGCAGTTAGTTCAAAGAGCTACAAAATGGACAGTTTTAAAGAAGGGAAAGCTTTGCCTTAAAAAACCATAAGCCACATGTTATCATGGATAAAAGATAAGTTTTTTAACTTTGATGTTGATTCTATGTAGTTTAAGATTTACAGCTAGATTTATCCTGCCCTACTGACATTGACCTTGGCTTCAATGCAGCAGCAGTATGGAATGAATTGCTCTTCATTGGTTTATTTGAAGGGCAGTATTTAGCAAAAAACTGCGACAAAGATTCACTCTGAATAAGAACAACAGAGTCTCTCATTGTTCAGATCTGGAGACTTACTTCTGGGTCATTGTATTCAGTATGACTCCACCATCGCTTGGCAGGCTTTTTCTTTGTCTTCTATATTGGGTAAACACGTCTGTTACAACCAAGAAAAGGAGAATTATGCACTCCCACTTAAATCTTATGCACTATTCTAACAGTTTCATCTGTGACATTGAGGTGTAAGGAGTTGTTTTTTCTTAGCCTTCTAATTTTTGTTACTTATAAGAACCTCATTCGTGACCTGACACAATATTTTATGAAGTCAACAGAAGGGCTGTCAGTGTTTTTAATGAGCTTTGGATCAAGCCCTCAGTTTTTCATCAACACAGAATAAATCCTTTCGCTACAGACACCAGTGTGACATATACTGTATGAAGGTCCAAACTCTCACTCCTCAATTGGCTCAAGGTTTGAAGTCAACAGTCGCAGCAAAGAGGAGAACTCACACAATATTTTATGAAGTCAACAGAAGGGCTGTCAGTGTTTTTAATGAGCTTTGGATCAAGCCCTCAGTTTTTCATCAACACAGAATAAATCCTTTCGCTACAGACACCAGTGTGACATATACTGTATGAAGGTCCAAACTCTCACTCCTCAATTGGCTCAAGGTTTGAAGTCAACAGTCGCAGCAAAGAAGAGAACTTGGGGACCATCAAGAGTGATATTACCTGTCTTGTATCTTTGTTTTGGGATGTACTAGAACTGGCGATTCAACCATCATTACTGAATAGCATGCAGCAGATTATTGTGCATTTCAGAGCACCACATATGAGGAAAGCAAGGCTGGGAGAGCAGGAGATTAGGTTTTTGTCACACACATTCCTAAACCAGACACCATTTGCCCATGTCCATTACCAAGATTTCTAAGGCACAGCCCCTATCTTCACTACTCTTGCACAATTCTTTACAATGACTATAAACCCTGATTTCACTTGGAGTGTGAGTGAAACCTTAGATATCAGATCTGTTATTGTGTTTGTCTTTGCTAAAGAGAGTTGACAAGTTTTCCTAAAACACATGCAGGTTGGTATTTTGCCATCAAGAGAAAAGCCAAGAGATCTATTTGAAGCACAGTGCAATCCTGCAAGTGTGTTGATACAAAATGAGCTTTACAGTTTCTTAAGTGCTATGCACAGTGCATAAAATATGACAAATTGATGGTACTAGAAAAAACTAATGAGTAGGTACGTAATTCCATAAAGGAAAAACAATGTTAAAGATAAATATAGGATACCTTTTCAAAAAGAGCAGGTGACCTTTTTGCTTTGAGACTGACACAAAGCAGTCTCGCTCAGCAGTAGAGTAAGATTTTGAGACATCTGGAAGTTGAAGGAGTGGTGTAACTATACAACCCTTCTTGTTTTCGGCTTTAAAAATCTACACGTTCAAGGGATTTTAGAGCCTTTTGTATGCTCACAGCATTTTTGGTCTATCTTGAAAGAAAGGAAGAAAATGACAATTATGTTGTTATGTACTATCTCCTTAGGTGGACATGGGAAGTATGTAGTGAGAGTATTGGGTGGAATAAATTGAATTACATTTAATAAAATGGAGAGTAGCCACGCAGTGAGCCAGCTTAGAACAGCTAGTAAAACTAGACATCTGTATTTACAATGCGCTGACGTATCTCCCTAGGCTTTGACATGTCTTCATAGAAAAGAAGTGGACAGCTTGTAGTTACTTTATAAATGAAAGATCAAGTGCATGCATGCATACAATTTGCCTGCTCTATACTGTTGTTAGGATACAAGCTTTAAATGTAAAATGTCTGGATATGCTGCTATTTTAGTTCAGAGGAAATATGCTGGTGATGAAGTTAAGCACCTGAGTGCAAAGTGGTTTTAGATTACAATGCTTGTTTAAAACAGATTATAGATTTTGTGAGTGCACGTTGGATATAATGTGCAAAGATTTCCACTCTTATAAGTTATACATTGAGCATTATGCAAATAAACCATTGCTTGCTTAGATGGTAGACGGATATCTTTTTGTCCTGACATGACAAGTAAAGTATGTTTCCATTTGTTATCCCCATCTGTCACAAGCTGATAAACCTCAGATCCGTAAAAGTCTTATCTGAATGTATTTGTTAATGTCTTGCTTCGCTGGGCACAATGACATATCATATAGTGCATATCATTTTCATTGTGTAAATAAGGAGCTGCATTTTTTTGTCATTCATGAGATAACTGGAATTACTCGATTTCTTCTCCACATAGGCCCAGTTTGGGAAAGCGTTTGGTTCAACTCATCCCTGTTCTGCACATCACAGAAACATGTTCTTCAAGCATATGCTTAAGAACTCTCTTGAATAGATAGGTTTTTCTAAATCAGAGCTATGGTATTTTAAGTCACTGCATATGCAATTATGTTATATTCTGTGTTGATTGCACTATATAAAAAGCACTAATATTTCACTTGCTGCAAAATTTTTAGAGATAGACCCCTTCATGCTGAAATATAGTCTTGTTTCTTTCTATGAATCCATTTGTTATATAGAACATCTTGATTTTTGTAGAGCGTATGATTTCCATGTGGGTTTGCATTGGTGCAAGTGAGCTAATTATCTCTATTTCTGTTTTACAGCGGGAACAACATATATCTTTAGCAAAGGTGGTGGACAAATCACTTACACGTGGCCTCCTAACGATCGGCCAAGCACTCGTGCAGACAGACTGGCAATAGGGTTTAGTACTGTTCAAAAAGAAGCTGTGTTGGTACGAGTGGACAGTTCTACTGGGCTCGGAGATTATTTAGAGCTGCATATCGTAAGTATTATTAACAAATGCATGATATTTCTTCTTGTCTTGATTGTTCTTGTATTTTTTTTTTACTTTATTTTAATGTAAATACAGCATTTTGTTAATGAACCTCTTAGGGTCAATAGTGAACTAAATGATAATGGCTTATAGCATACAATACTGTACAGGATCTCAGACATTCTCAAAATGCCTTTTACTTTATACAGTGTTACTTTATATGGCTTTTCAATTAAAAATCATACTGTGATACCTGTACATATATAGCAGTTTACTGCAATCTAATTACATAAACCAGGATTTAGCAATGTCAGAGGAAGGTACGTTAATCCTGGAGAATTTAATCTGGAATCTGCTGGGGGAATTACAGTTTATCACAATTGACTGTGCTTATTGTTAATACTAGAATTTATCCTCTGATTTCACCATTCCTTTCTGATGATAAATCTTAAGCAGAAAGCAAGATTGTCAAGCTAGAGAGTCTCAAAAAGTAATTTCAGCTGCCTTAAAGCAAATAACTAGCAATCAAAATAGAAAGCGTCTGGATTTTTATGGCAACATAAATAAATGATCAGTTCAGATAAACTTAACTAGGGCAGTATAAAATTTTGTTGTTTTGTTTAGATTAGTCTCAACTCTGTTAATGTATTAGTTTGATTTTGATTTAAGAATCTCTCTACTTTCAGGAACAGAAGAGTTCCTTTTGAATGAAATTACTTATTGATCTATAACCAATTACACTTTTACCCTCAGAAAACATTCAGCAGTGATCATTTTCAAAATTAGAGGGAATTACGGTATTCAGTCTTCCCAGGCTCCTTATTTCTGTAAAGGCACTCTTGCATTGTGGACCAAGGTGATTTTTTTTAATTTACTGGCTTGAGTAAATAAACAAAGAAAGAAGGCCTTAAATAAAATTCAGAGGTTGTCTATACCCTTCTTTTACATTGAAATGGATGGACAAAGTGGCTGGCTAGTATTGTACAATCTTAATTTAAAAATGTGAACAAAGCAACTTTTCCCAGGTGTCAGAAAAACTGAGAACCTACATTTTTCAAAGCAAGTATTGTGTTGCTGAAGAGAATTTAAAAATTTGCTTTCCAAAGCCAATTCTAACATCAGGTGCCTAGTCATCATTTGCCTGTTTCTTTGCAATCTGAGACCAGATCCACCCACTGTGGTCAACAGTGTTACTTTCTTCTTACAGTGTTTTCTTTTCATTAGCATATTAAGGAATGTTTTTCTTGCAGTTTTACTATACCTGAAGTCTATCAAAACCATAATATTCGTGCAATCTTTTGTCTAGCCTTGATTTTTCCATTTTAAAACAAACATTGGGTTCATTAATTATGAGTTGGAGATCAAAAATTATTGCCTGTTCATAAGTGGTTGTTTTGGTTTTTTTTTTCCCCACAAATAACTTTCTTATACCCATGCTATAGCAACAGATGGTAGAAATAAAAGAATAATTGAGAGTTTTCTATGGTCAGAAACACTACCAGCTTAATAGGGATGGGGAAAATCATAAATTATACTTTACTGGTCTTTTGAAATTTCTGTAAAGCAGCAAAAGGCCTTTTATCATCATGGTCTGTGAGGTGACCCTGGCCTCCTCCGTGGTCTTTGCAAGAGACTTCAGGAACCTCCCTGAAGCCTTCTCTGCTTGAGAGCAAAATCTGTGATAACTGTGCAGCAATTTCACTGGAACAAGGTCTGACCTTCTGAGAGCTGCTTCAATGTAGTCTCTCTCTAGCGTGGAGACACTAAGGGGTTGACCTGAAATCCTAAGACATCTGGCAAGGATTTTTTTAAGGGTTGTCAATGTTAGATAAAGCTTGGAAAACTGGGATATAATTTCCCGGAATCTATTTCAAATAAGGATAGTATTCAAAAGAAAGTTGAAAGGCAGTATTTTCAAAAGCACTCATGGTACCAAAGAACATATATCTTACTCAAGTCAGTGGAACTGTAGGCAATTCTGGTAATTTTACCTGAGATCTATTTTAGCTCAGCAAGATATTGTGAAACATCACGGTTATAAAAATGAGGAAGAACATAGAAACAGAGAGGCCTATGTATATATTATATTTGAAAAATAGTTTATTGGATCGAAGTTTTTCGATATTGGCTACTGCATTATTAAACTAGCTGTAACAGCTACTGCATTAAACTAGCACTAATAAAAGTAGTAGGAGGGTTGTGTCATTCAAAACTTCCTTCTTGCATCGATGTTGAGGTGCCACTGAGAATGTTTTATCTACTAAATAACCAGAAACATGCAAAAGCTGTGAATAGTGGAAGGAAGGAAGAGTCTAATTCTGCATGTTCTTTTGCATGCACCCGCTCACCTGTTTGTATAATGAATATGCATGAGCAATAAATGCCAGTGTACACTGAGATGCACTATGCATGGATAACTTACCTGTGTTATAACAAATATAACATTATAACAAATATAACATTATAACAAGGATATAGTTGTGATTTAATTATGCTGGAATTCAGTTTTACAGTATGATAGAAACTGGTTCTTTTGTTACTGAGCTTTCATTTTACCCAGGAGGTCATTAGTCACTCAGATCCTCCCCAGTGACAAAATTTGGGACAGATGTGTAAGGATAGGTTTTAAGTGTATTTTCAGAAGAATGGTGGCAAAGCAAGTTTGAACTATTGCTTTGAGTTAAAAAATTTTAGACCATAGTCCTCACTAGCATGTTGGGGAGGGTGCTTGTTTGGGATGTTTCAGAACAGAGCTATGAGGTAGCTTGCCCTTAACCTTCTTCATTCTAGAAATGGAAGAGGAAATTACGAGTTTGGTTATGGTACCTCAGTGCGTGCTTGCCCTCTTTATTATTCTGTTTACTTAAAGACGATGTAAACCTAATAATGAAATCAAGCTCATAACGAATTCTGATTTGGAAAATTGCTACTTGTTCATCTGAATCACAGCTTTAGTGTTAGGTTAGGAACACATTTATTTAAAATAATCATTTAACATCCCCATATAACCATTGTTAATATGAGAAACATTTTAAAAAATGTGTAATCTGCATTGCTACCAGGTGCTTAACAGTTCCAGGGCAATATTTTAAATTCCAAGATAGATTATTATAAAACTCCACCTGTACTGTAGCAGCCGAGATATAAAGGCCTGGTTGTGTGTATGATACATATACATCCCTGTGCTTCAAGAAAGGGATGTTAATATGGTTTAGTCATCCAGAGATGCAGCAATTAGTTTTCACAGCAATCACTTGACTTCTGTTACGGAAGTGGTCTCCTGACCTCAGGAAGATCAGAAGATCTTCCTGAGAAGATCTTCTCCTGGAAGATCTAGTTCAAGAGGAAATAGATATCATGCCTAAAAGTGTACTGCCACTTCCTTCTCCTGTTGACAGATAAAAGAAGGACAGATAGCTCTGAGAATTACTGTAATCCTCCTTTTTTTCCCCCTTTTCTTGGCATGGTCCACATCCATCTCCATGCCAAACGGAAAAGGCGGCAGCTTATTCACACAGTGTTCGGTTAATCACCATGTGCACTTCTGTGCTTGGCTTTTTCATTGACTTCTAAAGCCCTTAGGTAATTCTGTCAGTGATTCCTGTTCCTATCTCTGCTCTTCTTCTCTTCCCACCCTCTTCTCCCAAGTCATTAGACAGAAAATGTGTGTGTGTGTGTATATGTGTGTGTCATTGTCTTTCACAGGCACTGTGCTGTTGCTGCCTCAAGTTTCCAGTTTTTCTATGGTGAGGAACAAGGTGAAGTTAAAGATATTGCCTTGAAGGGCTAAGAAATCCTGTTAAATTGCTCTTTCTGGCAATGCTGGTAGCAGAGGAAACTGGCATTCTCCTGTGTGGCACAAGTGGTATTTGCTGTACTAATGAAGACAAGAAGGATAGATTTCCATCAGTAGACTTCAACCATTTTTAAAAATTGTTTTAAGTATAAATTATGCCATGTTTTCATCTTTCATTGTTAAAATGAAAAATTTTAAACTATAACTAAATGTAACATTTTGTATGCCTGATGGAAAGAGTCAGCAGTTTCTGTGTCTTCCTTGTTTGTGTCATTTGTTTTAAAATCAAAGTATTTTGGGATCATAAAACCAGTGTGCTGTTTTTATGGTTACGGCTGATTTTGAAATTGAGAACAAGAAGTTTGTATGTGGGATAAGACCAGCAGAGCATTTCAGATCTTACCGCTTTGGTGTTCCAGAAAAGACAGCCGGCCTATGGGGCACTAGCTACTTAAGCTAAACTGGGATCACTTCTATTATCTCAAGCAGGGCGAGGAATTACTAATTAAGCTCAGTTACAGCTATGGATCTGCTGAAGTAGGTGAAGTGGTGAAGATCGTTCTGATAACAAACATCCTAAGGTTTAAAAATAAGGAATAAGGCAGATGTGGCAGCATTCTGAACGTTGTCCTAACCCTCTTCTATGGGAAGCTGAGGAAAAACTCCCTGTAATTCCAGCAAGAGAAGACTGACTATCCTACCTAGGATATAGTAAACATACAAAAATAAAAAGGAATTAAACTCAGGGTAGATTGTGGTAGATACTTTTATTTCATGCTCTTTAATGTTATTAGGAAAAATATAGGGAAAATGTAAACCAATACGGTTAATACTGTGATGGGAAAGCATGGAAAACTATTTTAAAAGATGTGGTAACACATTACCTGAAAAAGCATTGTATGATTAAGGACAGATAGTATCAATATATGCAAGGTATAACACAATTAACCTGAAATACTCTGAAGATGCAGCATTACTGGCATGATAAATTAATCAGTATTGTGCTTAGATTTTCAAAATATGTTTGTGAAGCCTTCAGAGTTACAATTAATGACTGAGGTGAAGAGTCATAGGAGAGGAAATATTGTATGTCTTACAGAAAATTGGGTTTTGGACCGTGAATAAATTCAGTTTGTGCTCTTTGTCCCAACTATTTATATACTACATCTATTAAAATATAAATTGTGAGAAAGGCATTTTTAATTTGAAATTT